GAAAAAACACTTGAAATCTATCTAATCAAATGCTCACAAGCAGTCACATCCCACGGGCAGCTGCGATAGATGAAAACGGAAACCACATTTGTTAACGCTAATACAACTCCAGCCCTGCTCCTGCCAGCCGAGCGGCACACTGGCACATCCTTCTGCTGAAACCCCGCTGACAGCCCGATTCCCTCTGGGCTCAGGGGTCTGGCCAGGCAGAACAGCTCCCAGACAAACCTGGGATTCCTTTGGGAAAACACACACCGAGGAGTTGCTGCAGCCACGCTCCGGTAAGGAAACAAACAGCCAGATGCTGCTGGAAAGGCATATTGCACAAAAAATGAAAAGCCCCCATGTATTTTCTGAGGTGGTGTCCGGACATCTCACTGATGGCAATTTTGGTGTTTGCCTGAAAACACGGAACAGTGGGTGATGCTCTCCCTTCCCTGCCCTGCCTGCACTGCAACACTCAGCATGCTGGTCACTGTTTCCTTTAGGAATGTCCCGTCTTTGCGCGATTCAAACGCACTCAGCCCAGGCACACACACCCAGCTCTGGGGGAAGGGGCAGCTGCTGGCCCTTTTCTGAGGTTGTTTTGCAGCATGAAGTACGTTCAGGAGGTCGAGAACGTTATCTGCTCTGTAATGTCAGCTTTCAAAGCAATTTTAATCAGTTTTCTTAGATCCCCTCAAGTTTGATCAAAGCAACACCAACTGCCTTTAACGAATCACAGAGACAGTTTAGTATTCCAGTGCAGTATTTTAACTTACCCGCATTTATTACCTACAGCAAGTTCATTAAATCCATCAAGTTTGAGAAACAAGCAGCTGTGACCTTCCTGTAACTGCAGCCTTCCTCTGAGACCAACATCCCTACATGTTATTCTGCCAAGAGCCAGGAGAGGGTGCTGGTAAATTTGGCTATTATTTCATTTATCCCCAGAGCACCCAAGCCCTTGAGTATCGGACACTTTTAAACTCCTGACTGAAATGGATTTGCCACTCTCATCAGCCAAGATATGAGTGGTAGCACTGATGAAAAGCATCTTGCACGTCATTATAAGAAAGCTGCTAAACTGGAGCAATCAGAAGCCATGCAGCAGCTGCTGACCACTGGTATGGCAGCACAGTAAAGTCACATAGATCCCTTGGATGAAGGATGCCCTGCAGCTTGCTTTTAACTGTGGCTGTGCCAAAAGGGCACTTGAAGCCCTTGGACATCAGCTGTGTGGGGTTTAAAACAAGAGGGGCTGCCTCTGGGCCAGGGAGATGAACATAAACAATTGTTCTGGTGTGTCAGGGGGCAGGCATTTGGCAAAACTGGTTAACTTTGTAAGACTTGCTGCTCTGTTTTAGGATGAAAAGAAGTTATAAACAATTTATAAAAGGGGGAATATATCCCTTCACAGCTTTGAACCACAGTCATAGAATCACAGAATGATCTGGGACCTCTCTCTGCACCACAGACCTAATTAGTTTTTAAACCAGATGCAAATGCTACCCACTTAAAATCAATCTGAACCATCAGTAAAAATATCAGCATTTTCTGAACTGTTATCTGAACCTGAATATTCAAACCTGAATATTCAAAACCTCTCCCTTCCCTATGGTTTTTCAAACCTTCCTCCACATCAGTGGGTTAGCAAGTGGAAGCAAGCACAATGTAAGAAATGCAACAGCAACAAAGCAATGGGAGGAGGCGAAGAAGGGACAAGCAGCATCTTCTGGTGCTCAAGTGACTTTCTGCAATTTGTTCAGACAACAGCTCACTCAGAAGTAAAACTCACCATGTCATCCCATCTTCCTCTCTTCCAAGAGAAAACACGCTATGACAGAATGTAAACAACTGTGCTATCAGCGACTGAAAGCAGAAAATGAGATAACTATGGGATACGAGGTGATCTCGGCCCAAACCGTGTTCAAAATATAAAAACTGTCAGCACAAAGATTTGGTGTATTTGTAGAATATTTTAATTTTTAGCTGAGAAACACACAATAGGGTAGAGTTTAAGGCATGCAATTAGGCATGAAGCTTCTCTTGCTTGCTTTCTGTGCTCATACCTTCAGTGTAAATTCTACGAAAAGGAGTAGATCCTATCCTTAATCTCTACATAAAGCAACTCTGAGTACCGACTTAGAGCCTGAGGTTTGATGCAATGTTTACTGTTGTTCCTGGAATGCAGGATTTGCTTACTGGGAAACTCAGTTCTTCTTCTGTGTGATTTGTTCTATGCCACACAGAGAAAATGTCATGTACTTCACAAAGTTTGATCAGTGATTATATCAACAGAAGCAAAACAACCTTCTCCACAAAAAGACATGCTGCAATTACAGACATCCGTTTGCATGGTTTTACTTTGATTGCTCTTTTACTGGAAAATACAGGTAATCTAATGGATAGGAAAAAAAAACAACTTATTTCTGCACCTTGCAAGTCTAGTTGTTGGCTTTCTTCTAAAAACGAACCAAAACCAAACATCACAAATAAAACTGCCAAAGGAGCAATGACTTTTTTACTTGGTTGGTAGTAGCGTACAGCACCTCTGCATCGACTTCTATGGGGCATTTGCTCTTAACAAGAAAATAATACAGTACAGTACCTGACAGGGAGCACATTGCCAAAGAAAATGTTCTTTATAAGCAGCTACAAACAAGTATTTTCTCTCCTTAATGCCCTACCATTACTCATATAGTTTCTGTTTTTATTTTTTATCACTATTATTTTAAAACTTGATAGTCAAAGACTCTTCTCCCTTACTCATGCATTTTTAAAAACAATATGATTAAAAATGAATAGACTGTGCATCCATGTGATGAATGTGGTAAGAGCTCATTCTGCATTTTTCCCATGAAGGGCCCCACCCTACGTTTTCCAATATCACTGAGACTTCTGCTGCAATTACTGCAAAGGGACAAATCCCAACTCCTAAAAGTGTTTAAGCTGCCCGCTCCCAAGGACTTCAATGGTATCGGAAGCTCCATCCTCTGCTGTGGCAAGCATTAAGAGTTGCTATTACAGTGAATTTTCAAAAGAGGTAATCCTGAGATTGCAAATAGTTGGCAAGTCCAGAACCGGATGGTCCCATTTCCTAAGCCCTATCACAACAAAAGGATACACGCATGTGTTTACTTCGTTCCTGTTCAGCAAAACACTAAAATACAACTTAAGCATGAGGTCAAATACCCCTGAAAGTGCCTGAAGCAAGATTATGACTTCACCATTAAATCTTTTGAGAGTATAAAAGGAAAATGAACTCAATGCATAAGAATTAAATCTTAAAACATGCATATGGAGGCACTGACCTCTTCTTTGACTTCCTAAAAATGAACAGGCCACTTAGCTCTGGGGGAAGAATCAGAACTCCCATTCTCGCTCTTACATCTAACTAGGGAAGAACCCACAGAAATAATGTTCTTTACACATCACCTGCAAGAGTGGCTCAGAGTCAAAGAAATCATCAAGTCTACCAAGTGAGCTTGCATCCTCAAAAATTACAACCTAGACTGAATTTTAAAAATAATAGTGACAGTAAAGTATAAAAGATATCTGTCCTCCCCGACAAAAAAGAACTATAAAACAATCAAAAGCTAACTGCGCATTTAGATTAGCCAGCACATAAACAAAAGTTCAAGAAAAGCAGTGTAAACATTTAAAGAGTAAATAATGAGAGAATGGAAACAGCAGGAGCTGCGAAGCTTGTAAACAGAGCACATAGCTAATATGCTTTCCCAACTTAAACTGCAATTTACTAATGTTGCAGAGAATTATTTCAAAAACATATGAACACATGAAAAGTTGTATGCCAAAAGGGGCTTTTCAGCTCTGACACAGTCGCAGGATGATATGAAAAGCTCATAGTCTTCCTTTATCACCCTGACATTTCATCTGTGGTTGCTCTGGACAGAAATAAATTCCCCTTCCTCTCAAGCCTGATGTGAGAATGGCTAACACACAATGCCAAGTCTCTGTTCCACTGCAACTATCGAAAGTTAAAATTAGGAAACCGTTAAATATTTCTCTGGGGCAAGCAAAATCAGGCAGGATGATTTTTGTAGAAAGATTTTAGTAAAACAAAGCCAGACTTTCTTGGTTGGTCCTTTGCCAAAGTATTCCTGCCTCACAGAGCAGGATTGCTCAGGAGACCTAAGAGAGACCAGATGCTTCCCAATACTGGCATCTGACGCTGATGTTATGCTGACATGCAGGACATGCCCGGATCAAGCTTTGCTGAAATCAGTGTGCCTTTCCTGAAATCAGTGTGCCCAGAGTGGGATATTAGCTGTCAGGTTTCCTAATGGCTGATAGAAATTCTTCAGAAGTTCTATCTTTGAGCTTTTGTTCCCAAGGGAATACAGCTTATTCCATCCTTTGAAGAAGGTGATTGTCTACTGCAAAAAAAAAAGGGGAAAATTTAAGAGCTATAGAAACGAAATAATGACTAGAGAGGTGTTTTGATTCAACAATAAAGGCAAAGCAAAGCAGATATCACCTTGAAAGAACAAAGTTACATAGGAAGGGATTGGCTTCTACTGAGCTTAACCCTGAAAGATGCTGTCCCTTCATTGCCATGAATGACTCATCCACGAAGTAACGTGACATGTACTCCTCAATAGCTTCTCCCAGCAATTCAGGATGTAAAAGCTGGTCAGAAACAAAAATTACAAGGCAAAAAAAACCCCACCAAACCTACCCTGTCTCCCATTTCTCATAATCATGATGCCTTACAAAAGAAAATACAAAAACGGAAAGCATTTTAACTTGTGAAATATGAAATGCAACTCACACTATGGAGGACTACCTCAGCATTCTAGCTAGGAAACAGTCTTTCCATGGGTGCCTGGTTATTAGCTATCATGCACAAACAATTAGTCATTCAAGCAATTAAGAAGGTAAGTATCTCCTAAAAAGGTTTTGAGCTTGTCCAGCCCTAAATGCAATTGCTATAAACCTTGACTGTTCCTGAGTGTAATTTAGTTACTGTATTGCCTCTCCTGAAGAGATTCATTTTATCATGTGTTGTAAATTCTTGATGCTCTTTTAGCTGCAGTCTGAGCCTCTGGTGCATTCTCCTCTTGCTCCTCAGACTTCTTATGATTTAGGAATATGTCTGACTTTAAGAAGCGGCTGTAGCTGTCATATTTCATGAGATTGAATATCTGGTACGAGGGAAAAAAAACACAAAAACAATAACTTATGTAAAACTAGATTTTAAATGAGGACAGTATATGAATTCTAACATATTTTTGTTCTGTTAGTACTAAAGCATTTCTAAAAAGCATGACATTAAAATACACTTCAAACTCTCAAAAGAGGCTGCATACAGCAAACAATATTGTAGGTTCCAGTCACCATTTTGCAATAATGTCCGTGTTAGTTTAAGAATCAGATTATGGTTTTCACAACAGCCAACTTTGCAGAGCCACCAGGAGCAAAACCTGGTGAGGGCGTCCTTCTGTCAGTATACTAGGAAGACATTCAGAGGGATGAAGCAGAGCTGAAGAAAAAGAAGCACCTTGTAGGCACCCTTCTGACTGCAGTTATTCTTGACCATTACAGAATAGCTCATTATACATGCAGAGCACTGGAAAATTAAGAAAAGCCTCTAAATAATTTACACAAATACTGAAAATACAAACTGAATCTAGACTGAAATAACTTGTTTAACCAAAATTTCTCAAACTTATGCCAATCTTCCCATCCTTTTTAGACTACTACACAACTAAATGCAAGACTGGTCTCCAGCCAGATCAGAAATGTTGCCGGTACCTGCCACAAAGAGCTGATCTGGTACAGATGTAACTTACCAGTTAAAATGTGGTTTAAAATTCGTGATGGATTAAATTCATTCCATTAGGCTTTCCACTAGCCCAAGACCTGCCCTTCTTCCCATAGCCAGTATACAGCCAGCATGGATGCATGAAGTCAGGGCTGAGCATAGCTTTTCTCTCACAGGGCTCGAGTTTAGGCTCATCCCTCAACACAACTGCTCTTTTATTTACACCTATTTCAGACCAAAAAAGCTAGAACTCATCTGGAATTTTCTGAAAACAAAAGAGCTTGGGAGAGGAGCCTGGAATCTGTTCAGGTGTCAAGGCCAGGACTATATTTTGCTTGGTTTTGAAACAGAGGAGAAGGAAAACAAATAAACCTCAAAGCTGTAATTGAGGCAAAACCAAAGCCTGCATCACCCTCTGCCTTTTATTTCTCTGGCAGAGCCTCTCTTAGTCATGCTTCGTGACTGATTACATTTTATGGTACTTAGAGTAACTAAATTTCCAAGAGGAATTTCTGGATTCTGACCTGCATGTGTGGATAATCCATGTGTGGATAACCAGAGCGTTACTTTTACAGGCCTTATTTCTAACTGAATAATAATACAACTGTTTGTTAGAAGCGAAAAAAATATTAATCTCAAACTGCTTTTTCATTTCACATCCTCAAGGAACCCGGACAGACAAAGGCAAACACACAAAACTTGACTGTTGTTGTCTGTGTGTTTTCTGAAATATCCCCCTTGCAAATAAATTACATGAAGCATTTTACTAACCACTAAATATGTTTGTTTACATATTTAAGTATTTAAGTCCGCGGTTAAAACAGTGGAAATCTTGCTTTATAAGCTACATATTGGAAGACTAAAAATTCCAAAACACCCTCTCAATATAGACCCAAATCAATGCAATTAAGCAAAGTGAAATTACACCTCCTGGTGTTGTCTAACTATGATATAATTAAATTTATCCAACCAGCTTAAGGGAAAAAAATTGTAAGGAAGACATCACCTATTAAAACATCACAGGTCAGTGTTAAGAACTTAGACCCCTCTGGTATCATTTAAAGCATCTCCCAGAGAGAAAGAGAACTGTAAAATCAAAATCTGAAGTCTGGTCAGCCAAATGCACAGAACAGACAGATTTTATAATCATGTGCAAAAGCAGAATTCTCCTTTTCCCTCACCTCCTCTCATCACCTCCATGGAGCAGGAACATTTACCCTGTAAGTATTTTGAAATCTACGGCTTTCTATGAACCACTCTAACACCATTTCATTCAGCATGAGCAACTGCCTCCAAGCTATTTGTTTAAGGCCATCCCATGAGCACAGAACCACACCCCACAACTGGCCTCATTTAAATCCGTGGGTCTCTGGAGGACTGAAGTGCTAGTTACCAGTGATGCTGTAGACCAGACTGCGGCTTTCAAGCTCTGCCTTTTTCTACTTCAGACACACAGTGCCAGCAGTAGTTAACGCTGTTCTTTTGAGAACAAATTATACCACTGTTTATAACTTTATAAGGATTGAAAACTAGAGAAGATCATAACTCTTTCTGAACTATTATCTAACAGCAATAAACAGAAGCTTCAAGCAGTGGAAACCTGCAACAACCCATAAACACTCTGCATTTCATTTTAAAGTTCACAGGCTTTCTTCCCGCACTAGTGGGATGCCTCTGCCACTGGTCTAGCATGTCTCCAGTTCAGGTGTTAGTAATCCCTGCCTGTTTGTTTGCATGTTCATTTGTAAAACTGCAAAATGTTTTAACTCCAGTAGTCTCTCCAGCTTCACTCTGATAATCACCCACCCTGAACTGCAGCACTTTTATCTACCAGAACATTTTCATTCCCTTCCTTCAAGTCGGAAGTTCTTCCGTGAAAAACTTTGCTTTTTCACATGGAAATTTGGTTTCAGACATTTCCACTGCTAATGACTTGAACTTGATTGAAAGACAGCAGAGCCTTTGCTCCTCAGACCACTCCAACTGACCCAGCCAGTACCCAATTAATGTGTTCAGTACTTGATGTGAAATAGGTTCAAAACACTATTTAAATCAGTCTGCTGTTTGTCCACAAAAGAAAAGAGCCAAATGGAAAATACAGGTAGTCCTGACGATGGTACAGAAATTAAAAATGGTACAGACTGCAAGTGCTGGAAAGATGCAGATAAGAATGACCCACTTCATAACTTATGCTTTAAAATAAGCTAAATATCAAGAAAATTTAGCACCAAAAGCCAGGCCTGCTAAATGTTACCTAATTTCTACCAGAGCTCCCAAGATCTATAGGAAAAGGCAAAGCAGACACCAACTCCTCTTTTACGCGTTGCAGAAGAGAAGGCTTTTTAGGAAATTGCATTATATTCATATCAATTTAAGGACTAAAGCAAAGCGAAGAATCTTGAGCTCTCAAGGAAACCAGTGGCAACTATGGAAACAAACATCAGCAATGACTCAGCACAAGTGAATACACAGGAAAACGTAGGCACAAAGTTAGTCAGCTGGGCGATTCCAAGCTACCAGCAGAGGAACCCAGGAGGAAGCTTCATCCAATTTTCCAGGGAAGTCCTGAACTGGAATTAGCATGGCTGTGCTGAGTCTCTTAAACAAGTTGTCCCTGTTAGATGGGGGCAAGAACCTGGGGTACAGTGCATCCACCCTCAGAGCAGCTGCACTAATATCCCCAACGTGGAAGCAACCCAGCTCTGTGCCTACAATTCAATCCGTACCACAGATAGCAGTAGGCAGATTCCCAACTTCCTACGCTAGCTTGTGCTTAGAAAGTAGAGTCTATTAAAAGCAGACAAAATCTAAAGAAACTCTGTTTTTGGAAGAAAATAACTTTACCTGGTCCTGGAGCTTCTGAAACATGAGAGGGTGAGGTGTCTCCAAAATGGTCTCATTCAAACGGGACTGCCCTTCAACATTGACTTGGGAGGAAGCTTTACTGGACAGGAAAGTCATGTAAATTTCTTTAGCTTTTTCTTGCATCTGCAAAAGGACATATTTATTTAAAGAGTTATTTGCTGAGGGAATATCTGTTATTTGTAAATGTTTTATTGGAGACCATTCTATGTCACTTACTTCTTGAGGTTCACATCTTAAAACCAAAACATAGTCTGAATTAAAAAAGAAAACAAGTAACAAACCAAATACATATTGATTATCTTATCTGTGTATATTAATTTGTACTGGAGGAAAAACATATCTGCAGGCCAACTCCTGCACTGACTTTAGTGGAAGCTACCAGTATCTGGCACTTAGGTTAAGCAGCAGGTTGTGATGTTTGAATATGAAAATCCAGCATAAAACTGCTCAGCCTCATCAGCTAAGCCTTGTCTTCACTATTTAGGAGACTATTTTTACTAACAGACAACCAGCATGTGCGAGGAACCCAGAGGGAAAAAGCACTGTGGAAACTTACTGCAAGGCAAAACTAAGCAGTTGGTTTATAATCCGTGTTACTGATAGATAACCTTGTCATACTCCATGCTTTGTCAAAACTACATTTTTACCTCAGGGCAGTTCATGTACAACACCAGCTACATGATTAAAAAAAACCCAACAAGTATTTTTTTGGTTAATGATAAAGATAAGACTCTCAAGAGCCTCTGAAGGCTGACATATAAGGGTAGGTGTGACTCGCATAAAGCAGTTTGTTAGTCTTTGCCCTGATTTCAGCAATCCTGTTTCAGTGGTCTTCTCTTGATAAATCAGTAACAGCGATAACATTCTGACCCTACCTAGCATCTTTAAGCTTCAAAGCAGTAAAGGAGTGGCCACACTCCTCCGAAATTCAACGCAATCTCCCCCTCGACCAGAAAGTCAGATAAGAGAAAGCCAGTGGGGCTTTCCTGCTGCGATCTGAATTCTGCACACTGAAAACAAAGCCCACGCAGTAGCAGCGACTGTACGATCACAAGCCACAGGTACTTGTCCCTGTTCCCCATTGAATACCTAACGAGCAACCACATCTCCAGACCAGCACCAGCTCAAGGGCTGTGTCTTTGACGGGAAGTGGGCTTGAAGAAGGAAGCATTTAAACTCTTGCCCATGAAGGAGTCACGGAATTTCTTTCATGTTTTACAGCTGAGAATCGACATTTGGGGATAATTAGAAGAAAAGCTACACGTGTTTGACAATTCACAAGGCCTAAAGAGTTAACCCTCTCACTGCTGAAGGGGACATACATTTTCCAGGAGTATTCCTTTTTTAATACAGAATATTCATCTGGTGGGTAAAACATCACATGTCAAGTGCACTAGGTCACAATGAAGTGTCTTACAACAATTTCCCATCTTTTCAGTTTCACTGATCACGCAGGACTCAGTCAGCCCCTTCTGTTCTAAATGAGCAAATAATCCGATCAATCAGAGGTGCGTCTGCTTTAACTGGTAAAGTTAATAGCCTAATGCAGACACAGTAGAGGTATCTTTAGCTATTATGGCATGAGCAAACGTAAGTGATTATACCATCTGGCAGTGCTAGTTAAATAACTTTGAACCTGCTGTCCAATTTCAACCATACTTAAGAGAGGGCCAAAGGAGTGAGAAATAACCACCCTCCTACTGATTCAATGGAAAAGAGTGGCAAGAGAATGGGGAGAGAAAAAGCAGCACGTGCACTGAGGTAAAAGCTGCAGTGTATGTTCAAAAGTTATCTAGTCTACTTGAACTGCTAGCACGTACTTAGCAGCTGGCTAATCAATGCACACATGGTTACATGTCAGCCACAACACAAGGCCCTGCTTGCCCAAGGAACACAGGATCAAGATGGGCACTGTGGAGAAAGAGCAGAACAAGGCTTGCGGGGAAACATGAAACTAGAAGTACTGTGAGGAAGTTTAAAGAACATCGGGGGGAACAAGAGGATTGTGTGGGAGGCTGGTGAAATGAGGAGGATCTCTGGATTTTGTGGGAGAGAATGACACAGAAAGGAAGTGAAAGTGCTATGGTAGGGAGAGGGGTGCTGAAGAGATGCAGGGAACCTGACTTTACAGTAATGGGGAAATTTGGAAATGCACAGGTGAACATTACAGGTCCTGCTGCACATGGAACAACTGTTATGCAACATCTATGCTTCAGCAGTAGAGCATCAGTTTAACTACAATTTTTTTTTAACAGAAAGCACAGTTAAAGCTGCCAGTGTGTTTATACATCCCCCAAATAACATTCAAGGAGAGCCAGGTTCAAACAGAGGAGACAGCCATGTTCCCTCTTCAGTGGGTGGAATTCTTTGTTCTGCATTAGCCTGAAATTAATGTCTCAGCGCAGGGGACTCCACTCCAGAATTTAAACAACACTTAAACTGGGATCTTGTTCACAGGTGGTTATTAAAGGATTTCTGGCACTTTTCACTTACATCTGTGTGCTCGCCCCAGCATCTGTGCCAAATTCCCATTTGGAGTATGAAGTTCTGTCTACAGAAATCCCCCTCACTATTTCAAATGGATACAATATTCCTTCCCACTTCCTTTCCTAAGGTCAAATTCAGCTCTCAAGCATGTGTGGTTCCCAAAAGTGGTGAATGAAGTCCCAGATGCTCATCAGAACAGGCTCCAGCAGTTAGCAGCTGTGCAGCACTACCCAGGCCTGCTTAACCACAGCCACATTCCACATGGGAAGTGGCAGAAGAAACTCTTGAATAGGTATACTTTGTTATGAAATTGTCCTCTACAAAACTTTTCGATATGGGTATTTTGGTGGGTTTTAGCTGAAAAGATTCCCTGTTATTTCAAGCATTTATTACAATCTGTAATTTATTTTTAAAGCTCAGCTGCAAGAGAAGAAGCAGTTAAACCTTGGGAAGTAGCACAATGGACATGTTGTTTATTTCACTAACAGTCACAAACACAAGAGCATATGACTAACTCCAATAAAATATTTCATTTCATTCCATTTCAATAATTAAATTTGTGTCCTAAGATGAGGAACATACAGGTGGCAGCAGAGCTCAGGGCTACAAGTGGACTTGACCTAATTCTTTCGTCAATCTTCGCTAAAAATTACATTTCTAATTTAACTTCAATTTTAAAGGAATGATAAAGAAAAAATATCCTTTTTTCTTAAACTACAGATGTGTCTTCAGCTGAGGGAGGAGTTTGTGCTCCCATGCTGCAAGAAGATAGGCTGAATCCCATCAATGTAAACCCTGCCCAGACCAGCAATGTAGCCTGCTTGCTGTCTAGCTTTGCAGATGCTGAAAATCCCCCCAGCTCCCTGAAACATGTGTGCATTTGTATTAGTTCATCCAAACAGGAAAACAAACACAAACTCGTGGAGCAGTCTGCTCTGAACTCCATTTCTGTTTTCTCCTGACTAAGCACTCTCACCACTAGTCTAGAGCCAACACAGCAGTCAAGAGCCCGGCTTCTTCTTGCCAGTGCTCCCTCTGGTCCCATGATCTAGCAATCCTGGCTGCACAGCGGTTCACGTTCTAGAGGAAGAGAACAGAGAAGACATATCTGCACAGCATCTTGCAAGATGTGCCTGTGTTGGCTTGATATAAGTCAGCTTCTAGGCAGAGCCCACATGACTGTGGTTAGTGTAATGACTGAATCAAATTTAATAAGCTTTGAAGAAAGGCCCAGGATATTTTTTTAGAATGGCACTAAGGCAGTTAGTTCGCAACCAACAGAAAGCAGGAGCAGGGTGAGCCTGCACCTACCTGTGAAGATCAGAAAGGTCGTGAGGGAAGGACAGCACGTCTACTGAGCCAACCACCCTAACGGTATATCAGCCTACACAAAACCAAACACTGCTCCAGGTGACTCTGAAGGGATGACAAGACCACTAGGCACAATGGATACCTAATCCACTGACCAGGTGGTGACCTTTGTGCGAGTTTAAACCAACCAAGAAAAACACCACGCTAACACCCTCGTGTCAAGTAATGAAAAGTTAAACTTGTACTTTAAAAATAGGGGGGAAAAAAAATCCCATTCAGTCTGGGTTAAATTGAAATCAGCTTCATCTGCTCAAAAGTTTAAGTGTCTATGAGCTAGTTTCTGTGGCAAACCAGTTTTAATGAGAAGCAGGTTATAAAACAAGTTAAAAGTTGGTTTTAGAATCCTTTGCTCACATTAGATAGATATGAAGTGGTTTCTGCAAGAGTCACTTTCAGAAGACAAATTCATGCTTCATGCTATCATAAACACTGGAAAGACTTCTATTTTTAGTAAATTTCTAGCTTTGTAAATTATCTAAACTAAGCCATCCATGAGAAGTAGCTACAAAAATTTACTGTACGTCGGTGTCATTCTAAAGCACATCTGTTCCAGCTGGCTGTAATAACTTTGGCAGTACTAGACTCCAGATTGACCATACTGTGTAATGATTGGTACTGAATAATGAAGCTAACTGGAACCTAGTTAAGTCTCTGTCCATTCATTTGTCAATTCATTCAAGAACTTACTAAGCTACTATCTCTATAGATCAGTTTACCATTTATTTTCTTTACTAGCACGTGCAATCCTAAAATAGCTAAAGAGATGTACATTATTTAGCAAGGGAAAATACGATTACTATCCCATTACAAAACATGGGACCTTACAAAAGGATTGTTCACCTTCATTTCCTTTGTAGAATGCAGTTTGATACCTGCCCAAGGGATATCAAGAAAAGGCTACATACCTTTTGGCAAGGACACTGTACAAAGAAAAAACACCTGCCCTGTACAAAGCAAAGGGTTCTTCCCATTTGGCTGTGCACTGTGATGCTGGCTTCTGCCAGCTCAGAAAGCAAATGATTTTAATGGAATAGGAAGAGAGATTAAGAATACCTAGATCCCCAGCCAGCCCTCTTCAGGCTTTGCATCTCAGAAGCAAAGGGTTCTTCCCATTTGGCTGTGCACTGTGATGCTGGCTTCTGCCAGCTCAGAAAGCAAATTATTTTAATGGAATAGGAAGAGAGATTAAGAATACCTAGATCCCCAGCCCAGCATATCTCTTCAGGCTTTTCATCTCAGAGAAAAATAGCCTGATTAGTTGTTCTTCTCTGAAGATTGTCTGCATGTGTGGACCTTAATGAGGGAGGTAAGCAGGTAAATACACAAAGCTGAAATAGTGCCAAATATTACAAAGTGTTCAGTCAAATTAAAGATTTTCCTCTTCTTTCAAAAATTATTATTTTTGTATTTTTTGGTGGATTTATCAATACCAAAAAATATTCACAACTGAAACAAGCAAATTGCTTTGAGCGGAATGCTTTTTCAGTGCAAAACAGAGAATATTCAGAGAAAACAGACTCTCCTCTCAAAAATATGTTTTGTTGAAAATATTTTTTTTTGTTGAAAATCTGCTGGGAAACAGTCTCGGCTGACAATATTTGACGGGCATTAAGAGAGGAATCCTGCAGTCCAGACACAACCCTCTTAACGCCTGCACTTTATAATGTCCCTAGTAGCCCCACCTGATCCCTGTTCCCTGATTTTCCCTGACATTACTCAAAGCATGCATGGTTCAACTTGAAGCAGGCTGAAGTGGCATTTTCCCAGCCTTACCTCCTCATGGTACTCTGCTTACTTGGGCCAGCAGAGTGCCAAAGGGGCTGTACATCTGCAGCTGTTGCCTTCTAAAGTGGTCCCTCTGGGAACAAGAGCTGCACACGTGTGAAAAGCATAAAAGTGGGATTTCAAAAAAGGGGCTTATGAGATTTAGGAGTCTGACTCTCAAGGACAGTGATGCTCAGTCAGAGTTTTGAAACTACTTCATTTCATGCTCACAGAATCCTTGTCTCAAAAATCAAATGTGGAATTTCTGAAAAAAAACTCACCACAACTTTTTCAGAAACAAGCAAACAAAACATGGGACATACTTTAGGCCTGACTCTAAAGGCTTCAAAGCCTAAATGTGAAAGTTGATCCTGTGTTCCTGGTGGATCTAAATATGGACCAAGATCCAAGCAGTGGAAGAAACCTACCGGAGGTTGCTGATTGAAAAATTTCCAACAGAATGTTTTCTACTAGAAAAATATAGCTTTCATGAAAATGAAAATGCTCTACAAGTATATATCAATTTGAGTAAAAATTTAAACAAAAACATCTAAATGGTCCCTCAATTTATTTTGTTTTGGAATTTGTAACTGGATAAGGCAAAATTCTTCATTTTGGTACTCTAAAACATTTTGTTTGTGCTGTTTGTTATTTTCATGTTCCACTAAAATTCTATAATGATGTATATTTTCACATAATAGCTGCTATGCTTTAAAAAAGTCCTGAATGAAATGTCTTTTCAAGTAAGATGATGCAACATCACTGATGAAACCTTTTGATATTCCCAAGCACCAACAAAGAGTTCACAGTTTTCAAAACAGGGGAAATTTGACAATTTAGGCAATTTGTTCTGATTTGAAATAGAACCAGCTTTGTTTCCAAACAATTCTACTACTGTGATTTCAGTGCAATTCATTCAAATATATTTATTTGCACTCACATGAAGCATGATAGACAGCAGAAACATTATAGCTCCAGCTCTGCTACAGAAACTCTGTTGACAAGTAAAATTTATTTAGGAAACATACCTGTTTTTTTCCCTGTGTTTTCTTAAATTCTTCACATGCTAGCCAGAACAAAACGTTTTCTTCACTAAATTCTTTCTTTAAAAATTCCTAGGGAACAGGAAAATATACAAACAAACATTAGGATCCAATTTCTCAATTGTTTGTCTCTCTTCCTCCCATAGCTATTAAAACTAGAAGCCACCTACGGTTAGCTTTAACAGGATATGAGTTTACGTAACACAGTGCAAGAGAACCACTGCATCGGTGCATCTGCAACACTACCAAGACAGAAATGAACAAACATATATTCAGCACTTTGAAAGCACATTCCAGGAGAATGATGAGCTCCATTTAATCTCAGAGCGTATCAGTAACTAACAAGAAGAGTTTCTTCAGTCTCCCTTCAATAACTTGAGCAATTTTACAGTCATTACTCAAAGGGAAATCCAAAAATACATTAATTCATTAGCAGATGAGTATAACGGACTATCTGAATGAGAGTCACAGATCACTTGAGATTCTCATCCAGTATCTTTCTGATTTTTTAATGAGTAAAATCTCTACAAATAAAAGTGTTTCTAAACACGATAATCAGTGGCAATAAATTCACTTAAGTAAACTAAAACAGATTTATCTGTGCTCTCTAGACAGTGTTTAAACAAAGCACATTCCTCCAAAAATGAGGCATGCTTTACAATGGGGAAAAATGTACATTAAATTTCTTTATAAAACATAATGACTGAAATATTTATAGCTCTGAAATCATCAGTTTTCTCTTACAAGTGTTAGAAACTAGAGACTAAGTAACGCCAAGAATTAAATATCACCAAGATTACTTTTTCTTTTTTTTTAAGAGTTCTAATTCACAGTGTTTTGTAATTCTAGTTTACATCACTTTTCAAACCAGTCTGGCAGGAAACCATTTTATCCCAATGCATTTTATCAGGGCAAAACCATCCTCAAGTAGGTAGTTCCTATTCCTACAGGTAATATGGCAAGAAGCCCTTAAAAAAACCCACTCGCCACCCTCACCTAACTAAGCCTCAAGCCTGCATTTTGAGGTGCACAAGCCCACACTTTGTAGTAAACTTAAAGGGAATTCTTTCAGTACAGCAGCTGCAATACAGAGTAGGAGCCACACAGAGTTATCAGGCTCAGGACCTGTTAGTAGTAACTCATTGCTTAAGTAAGGAAAAGGTATGAGAAGAGAGTTCAGGATCAGTACTCTGTAACGAATAATGCTTGGCAGGACAGATGAGCGGCTCAAGGACTGTAGTTTATCCAACAGTGACTTGTTGATCCTTGCAACAGCTCTTAGATCCAATTAGAAAGATGCAACCAAAAGTCTTCCTTGTGCCTTATGAGAGCAAGTGGCAGTGGGGCAAAAGGCACTACCTCAGAAGCCCGGCAAATGCCACAGCTCCAACTCTGCCACCTCTGCTCAGGGTTCTATCTAGAAGGATGTATGCCTGTGTGCTTACAGCACTGGCACAGCTGCACCATTAATGCTGAGATGCATTCAGCTTTAATTCCTAATTCTGGTTTATATAAATATATCCATAGTTAATAGAGCAACCCGAAATCGCTTCACTCCTTCTGGATCTTCGAGGAGGTTCTCCAGTGATACAGCCCATTTTGAGGTTCCTTTCAAGGTTTGGTGGCTGCTGCTTGGGTGACCCTCGCTGTCGTTTATCTCTGGAAAAAATTGAAAAAATGCCATCTTCGTCAGAAGCGATTAATGTCACAAGCATTTCTTCCCCATTGCCCTCTGCACCCTTGGATTATAGCAGCTCTCTTTAAGGAAACACCATAAAACTGAAAATAAACACACACACACACACATATCTGAATTCTGCTTTGCCTCTAAGGAGGCAAAAATGCCTTGCAGTTAGATAATTCATGAGCATGTAAGTAGGCACTGTCACTGTTTTATATGAGTTCAAGCACCTTTTGCATGTGGAACACAATGACCGCAGCCTGTGTAGTAAAAGGACCATTTGCTTTTTGTTCTGGCACTGTCAACAACATTGGCATCTATAAAGCAAGTCCTGGTCAGACACACACATGAAATTTATTTTTTAAGAAAAGAATCACCACTGGAGGTTGGGAAAAGGCAAAGAGAGAAAGAAAAACAATGCTCTGTTTAGCAGGAGAACAAATCCAGTATGTTAACCCAGTCTAACAGGAGGAAAGACAGCTGGCAGAAGAGCCTCATTCCAGCTGAGTTGACCTGCTTTTGGGCAAGTGGTATTTGGGTGGCTTTTCTGTCTGCTTGTTTGTTTTCAAGTCCACTGAAATTCTGCTTTTTCAAGGTGTACTGGACCATGTCCACACCTCATCTACCTGCCAGTCTTCTCACAGATAGGAGAGATGGTGAATTTTGAATTTTTCTATCCCAGGGACAAGTATGTTACATCCAGGGCTGGTGATGCCAAAAAAAAATTGTTGGCTAGCTATCCATCAGAAAATCTATCACTTGGGAAGACTCCAGGAATTTTACTGCTGATCCAAAAAAACTCTAAAACAGACATCAAGCGCTTGGCCTCCTTTCCTCTCACACCCCAAATGTCCAGGGAAGACAG